CAACACATGGCAGTGCCCACTAGGTGGTGACTTTAAAACACCAATTGGAGAGCAGATGTAACACAGTATGTCTTAGTATGCCTCAAAACAGTACAAACTGCTGAAAAATATAAGGAACATTAATGACAAAATCTAGATGGAAAATCAGCATTCAAAATATTTAGTACCCAACTATGTAGAAAGATATAAAATAAAAGATAAAACAGATTACTTCTCATGACAAAACACTGAAAGATTCCACAAAAAGCAAGAAGGAATATCATGCTGCTGTGGAACCACAGGCTGATATTGTATATCAAAAAGGTTGGATGACTCAGTGATGATGATCAGACAGGTGAGGGCAGACCTAAAGGGGAAAGCTGTCATGTAGATTGAGCTGGCGAGAGGAGATACGGTCGATTTTGGTGGACAGGAGGCCAGGCAAATCCACCACCATGCAAATCTAGTGCTCAGCCCAGGGCCCATGACTTGTGAACTGGAAGAGCAGAATTGACAGGCAAAAATGTTTTAATTCATGAAAAAATTAATAAATCAGTATTAAATTAATTAACATCTCTACACAAAAGATTGTGATGCTCAGAGCTCCATTAAGGTAAAAATCAATATTTTTAATCCAATAAGTGTGGTGCTTGGTGACTTTCAATATTAGGTGTCTGACAAGCATAAAATGTGCTAAAATGTAAAATATCTCTCTGTTTCTATTGTTGAAACCAGATTGGCGATATGTTTTTGTTTACTCAAGTTTTTTTATTGTCTTGACCTGTATCCTACACCTTGCAGTAGGCCATTGTATTGGATGAAGAATGGATTGTGAGGTTTCAGGCCCATGTTATTTTGACAGCAGAGCAGTGTGAATAACATTTTGAGTTTCCCTGGCTTCCTGAGCAGGCAGATGTAATAGTATTTACTGGAGATCCAGGAGAGTGTATCTGCTCTGTTGTCTAACTGTCCTCGTTAGGTAAACCTAATAAAAAGAGTTTGAAATCAAATCTACCTCTTTAAGCACTGGCTAATCGAAAAAGTCCTAACTAGATATAGAGACTGCAGTAAACGTGTAGGTCACTGGCCAGAGCGTGCAGCAAATAAAGTTAGACTCATAAAATGGAAGCCCTTCGTGAGGTCTGGATCATACGCCCAAGTGAAAGAGAAGATAACTTGAGTCCATTAATATAGAATCACGTTAAGAGTGGTACATTCATTGCTACTCGTTCTGATATTAATATATATGTTGAAATATACAGTAATTAATTGCAGCTTCATAAATTATAACTGTAGGACATAATAATTAATACCTACTTGAAATGTAGTAGTGCATTATTGTGTTCATTGTATAGGTACATGTTGATTTCTGGGTTGGAAGTAGTTCGCCATTCCTCTCAATTCGCCTCCATAACACAGTCTGCTGCAAATATGGTGGAATCACTTGATTCAATAATTTTAGACTTGCATTAGAAAATAAATCATGTCATATCTGTATATTCACAGTATTATATATTATGCACATATACTAAGAAACACGCCACACGTGTAAATACTTCTCTTAAATACTTGATTCTGATTGGTCAGATTACAAACGGCCTCATTCGCGCTTACATTAAAAATAAGGTGGAGACATAGAAAAAGATCACATGTACAACACAGCTGGCTTCAGGAGTATGAACTATCTACAGTCACACATTAATATTTTTATGTTTATATAATTTACATTTACTTTAAGACATCATTGCCACCTAGTATTAAAGCAACAATTAACTACAGCTTAGTTCTAGAATAATCCTTACAGGAACTAGTTTGAAAGCATTTCCTGTGATCTTTGACAATTAAATATCTTCTCCCACCTGAGAAGTTATTTAACTGTAACTTGAAATTGTCGTTGGAAAAAGGACCCCATTTGTCTGCAATCCTGAAACAAAATCTGCCAATGACTTTATTTTCAGCCTTGCTCTGCTATAGTATTATCTGTCTGTCACGAATCCGGTCCATGAACTTTCCAATTCATTGACTCTCGCACTACACACTGTTGCACATCACCCCGGACTACATTTCCCATCATGCATTTGCACTGATTGCAGGATAAATATGACTTATAAACAGAATTGATAATTTGAGTCCTTTTGAGTCGTATTCAAAACGTAACAATACCTGAACGCTGCATTCTACATGCGTAGGCCTAATGGATTACATGATTGAAGCTGCTTTGGATAAAAAGTATCTGCTAAAAGGCAACTAACCGCATTAGACCGGTGTAATAGGAAGAAGTTATTTTGGTATACTGTGCATGGGCTTTTACAGAGCAAACTACATCACTGATAGCTCAAATAAACCAGAACCTTTAGGCTGGGTTGCCAATTTGCTCAGATTTATTCATAGTCGATATTCAAGCACTTACTCAAATAATGAAGTCATGTTTTATGTATGAATTGATCTCTTTCCGTTGTATTAGTGCTACATCAAAGCAGTGATATAAAGCATTATAAGGATTATCAGAACCTGAGCTGACCCTGATCCAGAGTTCTTACATCAAGCTTGATTCCTGCCAAGTATAAGCTGACATATATTAACACATGCTTTGATGTTGAATGTGACATAACATTCAACCTTTTGTAGGTTCCAGGGAGCTGATGTGAAAACAGTTTAGATTTTCTCCTATGATTACTGGGGGTAAAGTGTAAGAACATGGGGCAGCTGAGTCCCGAAGCGCAATAGACCCCCTATGTTGAAGCCTAGGCAAGTTGCTGGGTGCTGCTATCAGGGGGAGTTTATGTGTGCGGTTAAAAGAACATCAGGCTGACAGGGACTCCCCCAACATGCCTTGCTGCCCATCAGTGAATGTCTGCTCGGATCACACAGGGCTGTAAGCAGAGCACTGCTGAACGGCAGACTGACAGCTGCTTTATTGTGTGAATACAAGTCCAGAACCAGCTGTTGCTTGTTGCAGCATGTTATATATTAGATCATGTCTTTTGCCCTAAAATCTTCCTGCATGCCAAACATCATCACAGATTTTTACTTTTGATACAAATGGAACGCACTGGCATTTTATTCATGACCATCACCCTTTCCATCATCATCATATCATATAAATAAAAAATATTTTTTTCTGACTTCCCCCTAACTTTTGAATGGTAGTCCATCACAGTTTTCACAAAAATATGAAGCATAATATGATAAACAATAATTCATGATTCAGCTTTGTCTTCACAGGAATAAATTACATTTTAAAATGGTTTGGGGCATTCAGGATCATCCTCAAAAATTTTTTTTTAAATGTATCTTAAGTTTTCTTTTATGGGATTGAATAAGGATAATGTTATACTTGCATTTTAACAATTTAAGTAATGTAATTGTAATTTAAATGTCTAATTTATTAATTTAATGGTCTGTGTTCTCATTTAAATAACTAGGTAAATATGTGTGTGTTTTTGTATGTGTGTGTGTGTGTGTGTGTTTAATTTAATTTGTAATCTTCACCTACACTAATACTGTGTATTGTGTTGTACATTGAGTATTGTATATTGTGTTGTATTAGAATTATTTGAATACCATATGTATATATTGTACATTGTATTTAATGTAAATAATTCCTTATAGCTAACTTGGCCAGTAAAGCTCAATTCTGATTTTGTCGTAAAAATGTCTGCTATGTTAATTATAAACATGCTAATGCAGTGCCTTTCATGGCATTTGTGCACTATACATTTACAACCAGAAATACTCATAATGTACATAATGTACATTATGTACAATAGTACATTATAAATCTATATTTCATTGATTACTTAAAAGAGAATGGTTACTGATAATTGTCTTTGATATAACTATTTTCCTAATAATCTCTGCTCAAAGCAAATGATGATTCACCTGATGAGGTAACAAGACTCTCTCTCTGTGATTAACTGAGCAAGCGATGGTGAGATGCTAAGTCATTTTGTAAATATTACTCTTACAAAAAAAAAAAAACATTAAAATACTATCCTCCCACTGCTTTAAGCCCTCTGTGATAGAGTAATCCATTCTTAGCACACTTTCACACACAGAAGTTGCTGATAACTCTATTTTCAAAAGAGCACAACTCTTTCATCTGCATTTTGTGCATCGCCCTATGGGGGATTATTCACAACCACCTCTGACATAACATGACTCTATAATGTGACAGCAGCATATTCTTCAAAATGAATGTATTAGAACTGTCATTGATTTTATTCTGAATTTATTTGTGTTTGGATACAGCACCATATCATCTTAAAGAACCTTTTTATATAAATTAGACCCTTTTATAAATAACAGTGTTCCTACCTATCATACTGCTGTTGTTTTTTTCTTTCTTTCTTTTTAAAATTTTTTTTTACAGAACATGTAAGTGTGACCAGCTCAGTTCTGTTGAGGATACTTCTATCCTCTTCTAAACTTGTAACTGACAGAGAAGTGTAACTTATTTTAGGCATAAACATGCAGCCAAAAAAATCCCTTCCCTTTTTCCTTGTAATATTAGGAAGGGCTCACATACAGTGACTGTCCATTCACAATGGCTACTTTTGATCTTCATAAATTCAATTTATATTACCAATAATCTTACCAAATTGACACATCTTGCTGTCTGTCAGCAATGTAACATAGTTTAATGTAAAATCCTGATAGCGATTTTATAAAACCAGGCAGATAGAGGAGTTAAAAAAAACATATTGATAAATAATATAAAAAAATTAAATGACAAAAATAAAATATTTTTTAAATGGTTCTTTATAACACCATGAAGGTTCTATATAGCACTTTCAATGCAAAGTTCTTTATGGAACATTATTAAAAGGGGTTCTATAATCTGGTACTGTTTGCAACAATTTTTCTTAAGAGTGTATATATAATGCAAACTAATTTTTATGAAAATAATTATTAACTAAGTTACGTAAAACAATTGTAAGGCTTATCTGTTAATGCTTTTTTATTCTTGGGATCTGGAGTAGGACAGCGTGATATAGATCTTCATCAACCAACCGAGAAGCTGCTCAGCCTTACTGGAAAAAGACATTTCCTGATAAACTTCTTTTGTTTCGAAAAGGTGAATGTATACTGTGTTGCATAGTAGACATGTAACTATGGTTTATTATTGTGTATTTCAGAATTGTTGACGTAAGTGATGTGCCATTTCTCTTTTACAGCTTCAAGTTGCCAGCTGTCAGTTTCTGTGATCTGGTTAGTTCACTCACTTGGAAAATGCATGTGTTGTCTATACACAAAGCCAAATAATTGTAGCACTGTCATTTATAATTCTACACCATGCTGATGTAATTGATTGCCATCTTTCTGAAGAAATCAGTAAAATACTGTAAAAAGCCATTTTAACCTCCAAAATATTGTCCTTGTTAAAACAGGGTCCATGTCAGAGCTTTGGTGCAGTGCACACGTCCAGAACAAAAAATACTGGGGACCCAGAATCAAATCTGACTTGCGTCGCATCCTGATGGATCCCTTGTCCCCTTTCTCTTTCCACTTTTCTATTAAATAAAGGCACTAAATAAATAAATAATGGAGTCCATTTTGCCTAAATAACATCATGATGTGTCATTTTTATCAGAAGGGTTTTATTATAAGATATAAGAGTTATATAAGAGATATTAGTTATGATATGTATGATAGCTCTTCTCTGCAAATTGCATTTGTCAATGCAGACAATGCAATTATGTTTTCAATTGGAGACTGTGTAGGCCCCTGGAGAAGGAAATACACACTACTGGCAGAAAAATGTAGCCTGTAGAATCATACGATCTGTGGGCTGTCAAGTGAGGTGTGGTGTCTCCCAGAGCCATTTCAACTGAATGGTGTCTACATTCAGACTTGGATGTTAATGGGGGTCCTATAAAGCTTCACTGAACAAACCTGAAATAATTTTAATGATACTGCATCAAAGCATCTATGTGATAAAATGCTTTTACTAAAACATCATTTGCAGTTTGGGAAACTATTTCACCCAAACCGTTGTCTCCAGCTAAAATACAAATTCTTTATTCATAATATTACTTTCTCCGGTGAGAAAGTTGTCTTGTCTGAATCAGGAGAGAAATATGTGCAGATCAAGCACTGTTTACAAGCAAAACCAGTCCAAAACAGTTCTAAACAAATACTGTATGTTGGTGGATTTTGATGTGAGAGGAGAACAGGAGATGGACTTTTTCACTGGAGGAAGCGTTATTATGGATTATGGATATTTTGGCCAGAAGCGATGGATTAAAGTTAAAAAGCTTTATGTATTGGTTTATTACAAAACGTGTAAGGATTAAAGAAACTCAGATACTTTGATCTCCTGAGAAACAGACAATACAAACATACATGGGCATCTTCGAGACACCCCACAGAGTGGAGGTGCAGGAAACGCCTCTCTCACATATGCATCAGTTCCTTTTCATCCCCTTCCTTCCCCTTACCCATCCTCCCTCCACTTGGTTCACTCAGAATGGTCAATAGTATAATGTTCTACATAAATGCAAATAATATTTACAGTCATGTTTGGTATCATTTGAATAGTCTCAGGGTGAGTGGTACAATGGTCTCAATCTTACAAAAGTAGAATAAAAGATAATACAGATCCTAAGAGTTAAGAGATATTTTGCTTACTGTAATGGGAGTGCCCTCTTTCAGGGTCTTCCATGTAAATTACCTTCTGTTCCCACTGAGGTGTAAACCACCCAGGTCTTAATGCAAATTCCAATTGTTTGTACATGCCTCCATTTGGGGGATTATTTTTCTAAAAGTCAGGTATTCATCTTACTCTTAGATTCGTCTATGAGAATTTGATGTCTTGCATTGATTTGATATATTTGAATTGGCTATGTAATTGGCATAATACATATTTACCTGACTGATAATAAATTGTTACATTTGATTTATTCTGACTTACTCTGAAATTATTTTCTCAAGTAGATTTAGTGAAGGCATATGTTTCCGCAAATCTGCGTCCAGGGTTAAGTGCATACTAGATCTCAGGTTAGATGGAGCATGGCGCACATCAGGTGAGATTATAGATTTCTGACTAACTGCTTGACTTTAGTTAAGTTGTACTCAGTTGCATTAACTATGGGGGACTAGTCATAGTACTGGTCATAACCGCTGGTTATTGTCTCAGCTTTAATTAAGTTGTACGTAGTTATGTTAACTATCGGGGGCTAGGCAAATAGTACTAGCATAACTGATGATTATTGTTTGAGCTTTATTCAAGTTGTATGTAGTTATTTTAACTATTGGGGGGGCTAGATAAAAATACTATCGAAATATTAACATATTTCATAGTACTAGCATAACCGCTGATTATTGTCTCAGCTTTAGTTAAGTTGTACGTAGTTATATAACTATCGGGGGTTAGACGAATAGTACTAGCATAACCGCTGATTATTGTTTTGAGCTTTAACTAAGTTGTACATGGGTAACTGTAGGGGGGTAAGGCCGCTCAGCGGTGGTACAGGAGCTGTGGCGACGGGACGCGTCTCCGTTCCCTCCTTCAGGGAACGAGGGTTACATACGTAACATACATACATTCCCTTTCAGTCGGTCACTCTCGACGTCACGTCGGAAGACCGACGAATTGGGATCCTACCAAAAGGCCACAGTTACCGCCCCTTCCAGTGTCCTGTGGAAGCCACCTGCGCCCCTACTTTTTGGCGTAGGCCAGGGCCTGCACAAGAGGACCAGCTGCTGCTACTATGGGACTACCCACTGAGTAAGACTAGATAACACTGGGAAAACGTACCCGTTCTACTTGGAACAGGGACGTTACGGAAGCTCCAACCTTCCCGAAGGAGGTTTCGGAAGCAATACACATATGGACATCCCTTAGGTGCATATGGAAGAATGGAGGTGATTGTAACCCTCTTGGAATGGCAGAAGTCTGCCGGGGAAACACGGGCTCAAGGCTATACTGTGGACTTTACACATATGGGATCCACTTAGATCTTACATATGGAACCCAGCCTTCTACCGGTTCTTGAGGATTCAACGAGTGAAGGCCACGTCTGGCTGCAGAGGGGACGGAGGAGCTCAACAGGGTCTATTATATGGACTCTCTGGAGTGGGTTTTGCAAGCCGACCCGAAGCCGGGGCCTCTCAGTGCTTCTACCCGTTTGAGGTGAGAACACAGGAGGATACCGGCTCCACACGAAGGCTATAGAATCTAGCGAATGTGTTAGGGGTCGCCCAGCCCGCAGCCCTACAGATGTCTGCCAGTGAGGCGCCACGAGCCAGCGCCCAGGAGGAGTTACCTCTAGTTGAGTGAGTTCGCAACCTGAACGGGCAGGGCACACCCTGTGCCTGATAAGCCAGGGTGATGGCATCCACTATCCAGAGGGCCATCCTCTGCTTCGAGACGGCATTCCCCTTCTGCCGGCCTCCGTGACAGACAAAGAGCTGGTCTGAGGTCCTGAAGCTTTGCGTCCGGTCTACGTAGCACCTTAAGGCTCGGACGGGACAGAGCAAAACTAGGGCTGGGTCTGCCTCCTCCAAGGGCAGCGCTTGGAGGTTCACCACCTGATCCCTGAAGGGAGTAGCAGGAACCTTGGGCACGTAGCCGGGCCGGGGCCTCAGGGTTACCTGGGAATCAGCCGGCCTGAACTCTAGGCACGAATCGTTGACCGAAAATGCGTGCAGGTCCCCTGCCCTCTTAATGGAGGCCAATGCCAGCAGGAGCAAAGTCTTCATCGAAAGTAACTTCAGCTGGGCGCCGGGCGAACTGAATCGCATAGCCAAGCCTGACGGTTCGACGGAGCCATCGAGACAGACTGGGTAGCTCTAGCCAGGCTCCCAGACACCGCGCAAGTGGCATCAACAGAACTACAGGCGTACCCGCAGTGGGGCAGCGTGGAAGAACGCAGGGACCCGACCCGGGCGTCTCGTTGCCGGTCCGAGGTGAGGGTCTGGGTGTGTGTAATACTGACCTGCGTTTGAGCGGGCCTGGACGGGCGGGGCGGCTGCCCTGCGGCCGGCTCCTCGGCGCAGTTTTGCTGGAGGCTGCTGGGCGAAGTTCTCCACCGTGTCGCCGAAAACGCTGGTCTGGGACACGGGGGCATTCAAAAATCTTGTCTTGTCCGTCTCGCGCATGTCGGCCAGACACAGCCAGAGATGGCGCT